GGGCACAATTTAACTGGCTTTAACAACATTTTAGAAGGTGGGATAGTTCCTTTAACCGAAGGAGTTCCGCCGCCACTGGGCCTCACGTTGAAGTTTCTCTGAGGGCCCCATAACGGTGACTGTGAGGGCCTTCACCGGCGTCTCTAAAGGCCCACACCGACGTCTCTGGGGGTCCCATGGCCCCCACACACAACTCTGAGGGCGTACACCAGGCACCAGCGCCTTTAAAGAGGCCCTACATCAGCAATTCTGAGGGCGCCACCCACGCTGGTGACTCTCAAGGTCAAAAGCCCATGAAGGTCATAGACTGGCACCTCCATACGAAAGAAGGGCGCCTGTGTGTCAAAGAGGGACACCTCTGAGGCCCATAGACAGAAGAACGCCTGTGAAGCCCAGCTTTGGGACGTCTCAATGGAAAAAGGGGCGCCTGTGAAGTCTATAGAGGCGCCTTTGATGCACATAGGGGCGTCTTCATGCGAAAGATGGGTGTCTGCTTGCATAAGAGGGGCGCATTGCATGCGAAAGAGGGGCGCATTGCATGCGAAAGAGCGGCGTCTGTGAGGCCTATAGGGGCGCCTCTGATGGCTTTAGGGGCGCCTACATGCAAAAGAGGGGTACCTGTGAGGCCTATAGATAGGGTTGCCTCCGAGGTCTATGTATAGTAATAAAGCATAGCAAGGAAAGGGGCACCCATAAACAAAAGAGGGGCGCCAATGAAGGTCGTAATGACGTCTCCGTACGAAAGAGGGGCGCCGACATGCAAAAGAGGGGCGCCTCTGAGGCCCAGAGAAAGAGGAGCGCCTGTGAATCCAATAGGGCGCCTCAGTTAGAAAGAAAGGCGCCTTTGATGTCCAAATAGGCGTCTCTATGCGAAAAAATGGATGCCTGCATGCGTAAGAGGGGCGCACTGCATTCGAAAGAGAGGCACCCTCTCTCTCCCTCTCTCTCTCTCTCTCTCTCTCTCTCTCTCTCTCTATCTATCTCTCTCTATCTCTCTCTATCTCTCTCTCTATCTCTCTCTGTCTCTCTCTGTCTCTCTCTATCTCTCTCTATCTCTCTCTATCTCTCTCTATCTCTCTCTATCTCTCTCTATCTCTCTCTATCTCTCTCTATCTCTCTCTCTCTCTCTCTCTCTCTCTCTCTCTCTCTCTATCTCTCTCTATCTCTCTATCTCTCTCTATCTCTCTCTATATCTCTCTATCTCTCTATCTCTCTCTCTCTCTCTATCTATCTATCTATCTATCTATCTATCTATCTATCTATCTATCTATCTATCTATCTATCTATGTCTCTCTCTCTCTCTCTCTCTCTCTCTCTCTCTCTCTATCTCTCTCTCTCTCATCTTGAATGACCTTCAAAGGGAAAACAGGCATATCTCGTAAACTGGTGAACGTCATGTATTGATATATATATATATATATATATATATATATATATATATATATATATATATATATATATATATATATATATATATATATATATATTCAGAATCAGGGCTTCCCTGGCTACATGATGGTAGCCAAAACTTTGTATTTGGTGAGTTTTTTTTACTGTGCATTTGAAAGTGTAGTATCTGAATATCATAGCACCTGACGCACGTTCTTCAAAGGGCACGTGTCATCTGCGTACAAGAAGGACGAGAAGGTCATTCCGAACATCAAACACTGTGCTCCGGTCGCGCCTTATACTAGTATCAGCCTTATCGTCTACCACCAAACACCTAGCACATCAAGATTAGTCATGGTCAACAACATGTCACGCGACAGCAGTGATTTCAAGGCGACCAACGTCATTTATGAGTTTCGATGCCCCATTGGCGACTGCGCGCGCCGACCAAACAACTCATATACATACTGGCCACACCACTACGACCTTGTTACGACGCATCACCATGTCCATGCACCTTCAAAATGGTGCCCCCGAAAAACACGTCCGATTAGAACACAGCAGCAAACTCACTCGCAGCATGATGGTTAACATTTAACAATACCAGCAGACATGTACGTGGATCCGACAAAATGTGTCTGGGATCTGATCCCACGGATCCTTATCTCGGATCCGTCAGGATCATAGATCCAGCTCTTTAATTTATCGAGAGATTCGTAGGGATCATAGATCCGAGGCAAATTTCTTGCTTGCGTGAGATCATAGATCCAATTTTTTGTGAACTCAGAAATCCCAGAAACTCACTCGCTGCAACTCAAAAACGTTCAGTTTTAGAGATTTTATGTGATTGCACGTCATAATCCATAGTTTTCTGGCACTCATTGACACAGAAACACTTGTAAACCTGGTTTCAAATGTGGTGCATGGTGGGATCCACTCAGATCATAGATCCATGTTCTTGGTTTATCGTCAGATCCTATGAGATCATAGATCCAGATTAATTTTTATCACGCTGGATCCGGTGGCATCATAGATCCTAAAGTGCAGTTTGCTTTGAGATCCACTGAGATCATAGAGCCATTACTTGGATCCATGCACATGTCTGAATACCAGCATCATAGCCCCTAGTTTAGTCCCAAACAACATAAACTTGCGATACATGAAGCCGTCTTCATTAGGGAAAGAGACCCAGCTATCAACCGGCAAATAAACATGACGGGTACTCTGTCCTTACATGATGGAAGACCCCTGGCGCCAAGATAGCACTTAGGCTTTAGACTTGTGTGCTAGCTGATTATGTGTAGGCCTAATGCATGCGAAACTGTCATTGAAACATGTGTTGATTGTCTGATGATTGTAACTGAATGTAACTGAACTGATGATTGTAACTGAATGATGTAACTGAATGTATGTATTGCACGAAATGTGTGTCGGTGTACGTACAATGAATATGTACGTCGAGTGTCTGTATATTTGCGCTGAAAATGTTATCGCAAAAGGCGCTATTGCAATACTCATGTGCGTTTGTACTTAAAAGTGCTAAACCAAATTGAATTAGATCCATGTAAAAAAGGAAACTCATTCTTTGCGATGTTCGAGACGAGACGAATGTCATATTTAGTGATATTGTGTCTGTTTTATATGTTTGAAGATGTTAATGGTGATATTAACGAAACGTTACCCGACAATATAGGCACAATTTTACATGAATTTGAAGCAGATGGCAAGAAGATTGTACGAAGTTTAGAGAACTTTGCAAAAAAAAGCAAGCAAACGCCCGTTATGCTGTCATTTTTACACAAATATGCACATATATATATATATATATATATATATATATATATATATATATATATATATATATATATATATATATATATATATATATATATATATATATATATATTTGAGATTAAAATTAACAGCAGTTTGAGCGTTGTTGACTTTCTTATGAAGGTTCTCGATTCGTCGGATTAGCTGTCTTGTTTCACTATTATGTTCAAAAAGGATGTTGGAGAATGATTCTCTATTATATACGACGTTTCGTTCGGACATCGAACATCATCAGGTGATAAATTCAGGCGAACATATACACAAGAATGGGATAAATAATACTATAAATGATTCGCATAATCGTAAATGATGCACATTAGTCGCTATCGGCACGGTGAAATCATCTTACACTCCACTGGTTAAATGCAATGTTGCACGCTGCGTTCAACAGGAGCACTTCTACTGTCGGATACATACATGGGGCCCTAACTCTTAGCTACTACAGACCTACGTGGCTAGAGTCTAGGGAATCTAGATCCGGGCTCTGAGAGGCGCCGAATCAAACACCATCAGCGAACCACGCAAGTTCATTTGCCTGTTGATCCAGGGATCACTGTCACGAATATACACGGCCTCCAGAGCCTGCAGCTTCTTCCTGTTCGAGCATCGTGCTAAGACAGATGTGTTTTGCACCATCATATCTCGCGCGAGCTCTAGGCTGTGCTCCTGCTGCATGTGTCGCAAAGGTGCACCGTCCTGGAGATGCATTGTGATCCTACGGCTCATCGTTGTTACGGTGTGTCCAATGTAGGCACGATTGGAATAGTGTACACAGTCACCAACAGGGCATTTGAACTTGTACACTACATTGGTCGACCGTAACAACGATGAAACGTGACTCAAGTTGTTTTTCATGACAAGGCTAGATACAGTGGGGCTCTTATAGTAAATGATCATTTTCAGGTTATCATTCGGGTTGATGGGGACACAGTTATTCATCACAATGCTACGAATTGCTTTTTCATCTTTCTTATACGCAGACGATACATATATATATATATATATATATATATATATATATATATATATATATATATATATATATATATATAGACGAATATATATATATATATATATAGACGAATATATATATATATATATATATATATATATATATATATATATATATATATTCTATATACAGACTATAGAATATATTCTATATAGAAGCTGACTGCTTCTATATATATATATAGAAGCAGTCAGCTTAAGAGCTTGTTACACTGCCGAATTTCGGTACACGAATGTATATATATATATATATATATATATATATATATATATATATATATATATATATATATATATTCTATATATAGACTATAGAATATATTCTATATAGAAGCTGACTGCTTCTATATATATATAGAAGCAGTCAGCTTAAGAGCTTGTTACACTGCCGAATTTCGGTACACGAATGTACACACACACACATATATATATATATATATATATATATATATATATATATATATATATATATATATATGAGTAAACTTTGGCAGAATGTTATTCTTAATGCATTGTTTGTTGAAATTCTAATGCATATCTATATATATATATATATATATATATATATATATATATATATATATAATATATATATATATATATATATATATATATATATATATATATATATATATATATATATATATATATATATATATATATATATATATATATATATATATATATATATATATATATATATATATATATATATATAATATATATATATATATATATATTTCTCTGTGTCATTCCTCTCTACTCACCTCAGGTCGCGCAACTCCTGTTCTGTGTACTGGAGTCCGGCTGAAATGATTAGAGCAGAGTTCAGAAACGACTCGCTCTGTCAGCAGCACATCAGAAAACAGGCAGCTAACGGAACGTCCAGTCCACATGAAACGCCTCGGTGCGTGACGGCGGTAAAGCCGGCTCTATTTTAGGGAAAAATGAAATATTGAAGCTGAAATTTTTGCGCCGGAAGTCAGCTTAAGAGCTTGTTACACTGCCGAATTTCGGTACACGAATGTGCATAGAGATGTAATTCATCCTATGCCGCGGACCGATTCGGGATCTTTTTTTCCACGGTCTTGGCATTTTGCAAACCAGTACCAGTCGGTGCCCACCGCGCGAATTTTACAGTTCGTCACGACCGCCACGAATGTTTCATGAAGTTACACTGCCGAATTTTGGCCACGACCCTGTCGCCGAATCACGTCGTGTAGGAAATCGGCGAACAGTTTACCGACAGAGGCGAACAGTTCGCTGGCAGAGCCCGATTTGCAGAAAACGGGTGGGGAGCCCCCCTAATCGTGCGCGGGTCGAAGCTGATCCATGATTCGGCGAACATCGCGAATGAATGGCGAATCTGTTGCAGGGCCTCCTCTAATGATTTTTCACTGGGTGGGCACAATTTTTCGCCGCTCCCCTGCCCAAGGGCAGATCCAGTCACTTGTTTTGGGGTTCAACCATTTTCACCTGCGACTGGGGGGGGGGGGAGGGCGGGGTAAGGCTTATGTCACTTTCACAGTCAACCAACTGTGCCATTATTGGAAACAAAATTATAGTTTAACGTTTGTCGTGTGTTATATGGTATTTCGTGTGTATTTCACCTTATATGCCTATTGTCTACAATACATTTAAAATTTTAAGAAGACTGCAAATGTGCAGAGTTAAACTTACTATGATTGCTCCTTGAACCAGAAATCGAATAGGTAGGTAATGCTCGCTGCCTCTTTTTAGGAGGCATGGTCAGCTTACTCTTGACCAGTGGCGTATCCAGGATTTTGAAAAGGGGGAGGCCAAACCTGCTCAAGGGCCCCACCCTTACCTTAGGGGCCCCAGTGGTAGCATACTTAACCCACGCACAGGTGCGGTTCCTGGCCACTTTCGCCAAGTGAGGGAGCCTTTTTAGGCACACTTGGCAATCTAAAAACTCTGAAGGCTCATTCTGGCCTCTGAAAGCCCCTCTTCGGCAACAGAGTGAACGAATCTGGCCTCAGCCGGCCCCATAATGGCCTCAGGAGATCCATGCTATTGCTGACCTCCCAGGGCCCCACGCTGGATCTTGGGAGCCTTTGAGTCAGTCTGATGGCCCTATGCCGCTCTCGAACCCACGCCGGTCTCTAGCCATGCTGCCCTCTGAGGGTTCCGCGCCGGCTTCTAAGGGCCACTCCTACCTCAGGGGGTTCAAACATGCATAAGATCTGAAGTATGGCTGCCGAGGCCCTCGAAGTGGCCTCTAATGGCTCGATGCCAGCCTATGAAGGCCCCGTGCTGGCTTCTGAGGGCCCAGCACCAGCGTCTGAAGTCAAATGACAGCTGGCCCCACGCTGGCCTCAGAGGGTTCACGCTGGTCACAGAGGGCCTCACACTGGCCTCAGAGGGCTCCACATTGTCTTCAGAGAGCCCCAAGCTGGTCTCAGCGGCCAGTGGACCTCAAACTGACTTCGGAAGGCCCCACGCCGCTGGGCTTAGAAGACCCCAAGCTGGACATAGACAGCCCCACATTGAACATGAGGGTCCCACACTGGCCTTAGAAGGTCCCACGCTGTCCTCAGAAAGCCCCACAATGGACTTAGAGGGCCCCGCGCTGGCCTAAGAGGGCTCCAAGGTTGGCCTTAGAGGGCTGCGCGCAGGCTCCTTAGGGTTCCACGCCAGTGTCAAAGGGTCCCACGTCCAAGTCTAAGCTTCTGTAGGACCGCCAAAGCGGCCTCTGAGGGCCTCAGCGCTAGCATCTGAGGGCCCTGAGACGGCCTCTGAGGGCCATCAAACGGCAAATTTATGATAGTTTGACCTAGTTGACTTTATTTAATGACTTAATGACGTAGTGACTTTATTTAAGCTTGGGCCAGTACTTCGCATAAGGCCCTGAAGGCCGTTTCTCTTTGGACACCCAAGCATGCACGTACCCAGGATTTCGCCCAGGAGGGGGCAACCTGCTCTCGAAGGGGCCCGGGTTACCTGGGGGCCACTGTCAACCCAGGCAGGGACGTATATAGAACATTTCGCGATGGGGGGGGGGGATTGGGCACAGTGGGTCCGGTCCCCCTTGCGGACAGGCCCCTCTGTCTGTCTGTCTCACTGTCTGCCTGTCTGTCTGTCTAAGCCCTGAGAAAATGTGGAAAATTGGCAGATAAAAATTTCATTTTGCCTGAGAAATGTGCATAAAATGCACGGTCTTTTATGAAGAAGCGAAGCGAGCGAGCCCCTCAGAGTCGCCGGTGTTGGTCCCTCAGATGTGTCTGTGAAAGGCCGTCAGATGCGCTGATGTGGGGTCCACACAGGCGCCGTTGCGGGGGCCTTAGGGCTTAAAGACGCTGGTAGGGGCCGTCATAGGCATGTATGGGGCCCTGAAAGTTACCAGTGGCCCTTCATAGGCCGGCAAGGGAACCTCAGATGCCGGTAAGAGGCCCTCAGAGTCGCTGGTAAGTGGCCGTTAGATGCGCTGGTATAGGGCCCTCGGAGGCGCCAGTGAGCGGGCCTTCAGAGCCACCGATGTAGGCCGTTAACCCGCGCCCGGCTGGGGGTCCTGGATTTCCACGCCCTGCTGGGGGGGGGTGTTTGAACACACCCCCCCTTCTAACTCGGCTCCTGGGCCACGTAGCGATACGCGGAAGGCGGCGTTCGAAAGAGCGTAAAAAATAATGAGGAAATTACTTCGGTCAATTTTTTGGTCAGGTCAAAGGTCAGGTCACCAGAGATCATTGAAGGCAAAATTTCGCAGGTTTCCGGGTCGAATGTCGAAAATTTCCAAGAAGCCAACGCATAACTCGGGAACCAATAGAGCTACAGCGTCGCAGAAAAGCGCATTCGATAGCCCTATTAACACCCTTTCTAAATGATTCTCTCAGATTTCACCTAACGTCAACGGTTTTGCCTGCAGGGGGCAAAAACTGCAAAAATAGCCGATTTTTTTCGGAAACAGTTTTTCTGCAATAACTTTTGACCCAAGCCTTGTACGAGCTTACTTTTGCCGGCATCGTGTTCCTCTCGTCAAGACGCATCGAATGAACTATAACTTGACCTTGAAAGGTCAACTTGAAAATTTGACCTCAGGTCAAGGTCATGACCTGACCGGAAAGGGTCATGTTGCATATCAGTCGATCCGTATCGTCGAGCTGAACACATCTAAGGCGTTTTCATCGCTCTAGCATGCCTCTATCAAAAGTTATTTGCGAAAAACTGTTAGATACCATTCGTGACCTAAGATAACCTCAGGGCATAAACAGGGGTCACGGACACCATTTTCATGTTCAGTGTGTCTAAACCACTTGTAATTCAGTGTTTGGGAGTGTTTATAATGTCTTTCGTCCAAAAGAGGCGCATTTCAATTTTCTCCCATTGACTTATAATGGGGAGGTCGCAAAATTGACCTGACCTTAGGTCATCGATATCAAAATTCTGAGATAAAAATTTTGTGCATGCTATTGCTCTTAGCAATCGCTGAAAGTTTCAAAGCGATCGGTCACTCGGTGTAGCTATGACAGACATTTAAACTTTTTATGAGGTGAGGTCACTTCAAGTAACCTGGTGACCTGACCTTGAATGACCTTGGGCTGAAATTTTCACAACATGTGTAGAATTGATGTAGGATAAGGTGTACCAAAAACGGCGGCGCTGCACGCCGCCGTTTTTGAGATATTCGCGAAAACCCACAAGGGGGGGGGGGGTGTTCAAACACCCCCAGCAGGGCGCGGGTTAAGAGGCGCTGGTGTGGGGCCCTTAGAGGTGACGGTGAGGGCCCTCCCAGGCGCCATTGTGAGGGCCCTTAGAAACACTGGTGTGGGCCGTTGGGGCATAACAAACAGGTGTGGGGCCCTTACAGCTGATCCTATAGCCTTCAAGGACCCTCAGAGGCCGGCAAGGCCCTTCAGCACCTGGGGTGGGGCCCTTCTGGAGATGAGTGTGGCTACATAAGAGCCCATGACGTGTTCTCAAAAGCCCGTGGTGTCTTTTCACTCCTTTCCAGTTGAAGCGTGGCCAGCGCGGACCCTCTGATGTCAATTGGCACCGTAGGGCCCCTCGGGCCCGAGGGGACCCTAAACCATATAACCGACACGTGTCCCCTCTCCCCCTGGCTATGCCATTGAATCCAAGTGACCAGGGGCCCTCTAGGTAATCAGGGACCTCTCAGGTGACTGCAGGGGCTTTCCAATTGATCAGAGGCCCACCAGGTTACCGTGACCAGGGGACCCTCTGATAATATCAGGAGCCGGTTATACCAGGGGCTCCTCGAGCAACTATGGGCCTTCATGTGACTGCAGAGGCCCTTCAGCTAACCAGGTACTCTCCGGGTAAGCATATGAGCCCCTCAGGTGACCAGGGCTTCTTCAGATGACTGGCCAGGGGCCATCCAGGGGATCAGGGCCCCTTGGGTAACTAGGAGCCCCTCCGATAACCAGAAGCTCCTCGGGTAACCAGAGGCCCCTCGGGTAGCCAGGGGCCCCTCAGGTAACCAGGGGCCCTCGTAACCAGGGGTCCTTTACCAGGAGTCCTTCAGATAACCATGGGTCCCTCGGGTAACCAGGGGCCCCTCAGGTAAACAGGGGTCCCGTGACCAGGGGCCCTCAGGTAACCAGGGCCCCTCAGATAACCAGGGCCCCTCAGGTGACGCAGGGGCCCCTCGGGTAGCCAGGGGGTCCCTTAGACAACCAGGAACCTCTCGGACAACCAGGGGTCTCTCAGATAACCAGGGGCCCCTCAGGTAACTAGGGGCTCGTCAGATAATCAGGGGCTCCTCAGGTGAACAGGGGGACCCTCAGGTAACCAAGGGGTCCCTCAGGTAGCCAGGGGCCCTCAGGTATTTA